TATTCTAGTTGAATGTGCCTTAAAAATCATGACACTAATCCAGAAGGAGCATGTGAGGTCCAGACCCATGCTGAGGACAGGTGTTGAAAGCCAGGGAGTGTTATCGTCACAGGCTAGAAGAGAACCTTTGGGGCCTGCCTCCTGCAGTGACAAGAAGGAACAAAACTGTAAAAGCAGATGTCTTTTTTTTTGCTCTAGAAATAGTGGGGCATTTACCTCAAAATGAATTTACCATATATTCAGAGGTAGTTCTGAACTTAACAAGCCACAGTGATGATTTCAAACTAAGATGCCTGTGCTTTCCTTACAGCAAGTGAGGGGGGTGGGTCCACGGCTCTGTTAACGCAAGCACAAATTCCGTCTCCAGGGTGGGGTCCCTGGCTTTCCCTTCCTGTGGGAACACTGGCCTTCCCTTCTCTACAGTTCCTTACCCCAGCTGAGATAGCCCTGTGACCTCAGGATGCCAGGGGGCGCTCAGAGCACACGTTTCCTGAGAGCTGAAGGCGGCTGCTTGCTCTGGTGCCCAGCACTGAGGGGGGCCTGACTCCCTGGCACTCAGGGCCCAGCGCCGGGACCCTACACTGCCCTGGGCCCTGGCCTGTATAACTGGAGTGGCCCCCAGAACAAGCCAAACTATGGGCTCTTGTTTTTGAGTTTATTGGTCATCTGTCCTTCCATGCCTCTAGTCTTGCAATTTTTTTCATCTCAGGATATGGGGGGAAAAGTCCAACAGAAGTTTTGGGACAGGTTTGGTTTTTGAATTTTCCAACCAGGTTGAGAAGCAAGTTGGTCTTACAGAAAGCACTACTGCACTTAGTAATCAAGTGATTTCAAGCAAACCATGTGATTTTTCTAGATCTGTTTTCTCACAGAATAAGGTTAGACTGTCACAGCTTGCGGTAGGATTCAGGGTGAATGCAAGTTGGTCCTTGCTCATCACTTTCTGGCTCATCACTGTGCCTTTTTTCTTTCCTGAGAAAGATGTCACACCTCTTTCCTCTTCTGTTCTCTTGTCCCTCCCTGCTTCCCTCTCAAGATCCAGGCAGAGCTGGAAATTAGGCTGAGATCCAGAGTTTCCTAGAGAGTAAGTAACAGAATGACTTAGAAAGGGAAGCCCAACTCTGGCCTCTTTAGTCCTGCATTTGGTGACAAAGGGGACTTAGAATGGTGACACTTCTCTTGCTGAGAGCATACATTTAGCCAGTTTGCATAATGCCTAGAATGTGTATGTCTGTTTGCACAAGATTGTCTTTTCCTATTTTGGAGTGGTCAGACATTTTATTTTTGTTCAAAATTATCGAGTTTTAGAGAAACTTGCAAAACTGTGCTTTTATTAAGTGATTTTTTGAATAAACTCTTTGGTATTCTGGAGCAAATGTATTTATTTATTGGTATGTGCAATGACAAAGTTGGTATTTTCCCATGTTGACATTATGTATGTTGTAGAACTTAATGTTTGTCTAAGTACAGACCATATATCAACAAATTAAACTTGAACTGTTTCAACACTGCTGTGCACTTTTTTCCCCCCTATGAAAGAAAAAACATTTCTTACCTAGAAGTTTTTTCCTACAACATTCATTCCTTCTGCCCCAAGAGCCTCAGGGAAGGGCAGGAGGGTGGTGGTAACAAGGGGATCATAGCTGGTTTGGAAACAGTCACCTGTGGGAGGAAACTGTCTTTCCTCTGGCTATGCTCCTCAAGTTTAAAGATGGTCAGAACCCCACATGCAGAGGCTGGGAAGGGCTTGGAAGAAGGGTAAAGACAGGAGGTACTAAGCTAGCTCATCCTTTGCAGGCTCAGCTGTGCCAGCCAGAAGAGCGGGCTGCTGCTTCCTAGTAAACCCTGTAGGCATGGCCCCGAGGAACAAACACAAGGCTGTGGAGCTGGAAAAAGGTGGGGAAGGCCAAAGTGGTAGAAATAACATGAAGACCCAAACGCTGGGTTCCTCTAGCCATATGCAGGGCAGCTCGACCTGTTTAAACAGAACCTGGACACACTACACGCTTGGGAATTTTCTTTTCAGCCTGTGGCAGATCTGAAGTCAAGAGGAAAGGAGGCTGCAGTTATGCCTGACAGCTACAGGTCTGGTCCTAGGTGGGGCGGTCAAAACTGAAGTCACCCAGTGACTGCAGCACCTGGGCTCTGGGCCATTCCTGGCAGTCAGGATAGCCTTGGAGTGTCAAGTCCAACAGCCCGGCAGCGCAGGAACTTGGTGAGTGCTATGCTGTTGATGGCACTGGCCTGGGCACCCAGCACAGGCTACACCCTGGACAGATGCTATACATAGCATCTCATTTCATCCCAACAGCTCTGCAAGGGGAGAGCTTCCCAATGCAAAACTGAGGAAACTGGTACTTAGAGAAGTTAAGGAGTAATCTAAGGAAAAGGAGAAATTTAGCCTATTTAATTTGTATAAGAAAATGGGAAAGGAAAAACCTAACGTTAGGTACATTTTAGAAAGATTTGTATGAAAATCATCAAGGCAAAGTCTGTGATACTTTGTTTTTCTCATTTCTGGGTAGCTGACGTGTTCAGTTTTCCTCTGGAATGTAGCCTGGGTTGAGGGAATTTAATGTGGTGATGAGTAGTGTTGGTTTATTACCCCAGATCAAGAACCTAGCTGGACTGTGGCTGCTCTCCATGGCTTTGCCTCTGGGAAATAGCATATGCAGGACACTACTATGACAAAAAGGAAAGAGGATTTTGTAGTTTAGTGATCAGGTTAAAGATGATCTCTTCAACAGCTCTGGACAGGGTCCAAGGAGAGTCCTGGTTGATAGCTATCATCCTGGTGTAATTATTATTAAAGCTCCCTTTTCCTAAAGTGTCCCAGTTTGGACTGTAAGTCGTTGGATGACCCAGGCCATGGAAGCTGCATGGGGTGCTCACAGGCATCTCTTCCAGAGGCCGTACGGGCCTCCACTCCTCACTGCAGCTCTCTGTCCCTGGCTCCCGAGCTCCCACGGCACTGGTCCTGGAGCTAGGGAGGTGCTCTGCTTGTGCTCCTGGTCTGACCAGGGAAGGGCATCTCCAGGCCAGATCACCCACCTGAGTTACTAAGCATGGCCCCACATGATGCAGTTATTTCCTAGGCCAACTATCTGACCCCAGAGGTATGACTCTGTGTTCTGCCATGGTGCCCAAAAGTCACTGCAGACCTAGTGCCAGGGGACTGATCAAGTTCTCAGCCCAGATCAGTTCTGGAGAAACGAAGACCAGGAGAAAAGAGATGACAAAAACCAGGCCCATGACTTTGGTCATCCTGGACTCTCTATATAAATATAATCTCATCCCTGAAGAATAACATAATTCTGAAAAATCCAAAAAGGACTGCCTAATCTGAAATGACTGAAAAGTAAATTTTTAAAAATATAAATACATAAATATTTTCCTGTTATATAAGCCCACCAAGAATCAGGGCAGCAAGAATCATCATGAGGTCTCAGTACTTGGGGCAGGAACTGTTTCTACAAGCCAATTTCGCCCAGAGATAAACATTCCAAATAAAGAGTTGGTTATGTGACACCTTACATACCAGCCTCAAATATCAAAATACCTGAACATCCATTTACTTTCACACCTCATTGCTCTACCACCTCTCTTTCTGCCAACTATCCTTTCTCTTCCTTGCATATCTGGAGAAGTTCATAGCATCCCTCAAGACCCATCTCCTCTGTGGAGTTTCTTGGAAGTACTTTAGCAAAAGTGACCTTTTCTTCCTTTGCGCTCATGTGGATTTGGGTCCATATCTCAATTATAGCATAAAATCTTGCACAATAAAGTAGCTACCGCTTGCCGAGTGGTGATCCTATGTGAGATAGGACCAGTGCTGTTTTATAAGCAGTGATGATTTCACTTAATCTCCGTAGCTGTGGATTTAATCCTCATACCCTGTAAGACCTGGGCTCTGACTCCCCAGCTTTAGCAATGAGAAAGTTCTCACGGTTAAGGAGCTGGCCAGATTCTACAACTAGAATAGACAAGGATGGAACTGTGACCAACACTTCTCTGCCTGCAGAACTCACCATCTTGAGCCTTTTTACAGTTTACAGTTCATTTTAAAAAATAAACTGGATCAGGCTCTCATATTCAACTGAGTGTTTTTTTCCTCAAAGGCAGGAATTGAGCAGTGGTCTGCAAGATGAATAAATGAGAGAATAAGCAGAAGGAAACAAATATCCACCTCTAATAAGGGAATCATATCCTAAGGGAAAAAAGAAACTTGAACCAGAGTCCCAGAACTCTCCTCATAAATCAGCCCCTCACTGTGATGAAGAGAAAGAACATGGCAAATAGTTTATCGAAATAGGAAAGAGCACCTACATTATTTTTTACCTTCAGCATTATATTACATCTAGATTGTTCTCAGTACATTTTAAACACCTTTCTTTACAAGTGAATCTAATGTTCCACACAGAGATAGACACAATATGCTTTCTATGGACTCAGTCTTCATTGACTTTTCTCTGTAGTTATTAACAAGAAATGCACGGCTGCAGATGACACATCATCTTAATATGATGCTGTGACAGCAGTGTGTATGCTTATATGTGATTTAACAGTGACTAAATTATTTTCTTGGCCTCTGACTCATTCCAGGCATAGTGGAACTCTAAAAGCCAAGTCCACCTTTACATGATTTCTTAGTTTTCAAGTCTTCTACATTTCGTGGTCCTCAGGAATGTGTCCTCTTGAAACTCTTAGGTCTTACCTGTAAACTGAATTCACTCATCCTTACTATACAGAACACATCTTACCTCAAGGAGACACATGACCGATGGCAGCTCAGAAATTAGGCTCTGGGTTTGGTCACAGTCCTCCCTGTCCTAACCTACCTCCCACTTTGCCCAACTTTCTCAATAGACTCAGATTATCCAAATACAGAACATGTGGTCTGTTCCCAGGCATTGCTATATTGGGTCCCTGCAATATAGGGACCCAATAGCTTGGGTCCAAGGTCCTTAGACCAAGGACAGCACATGGTCTGCAAGTTCAATCCTCCTCATTTCTGTTTTAATTTGTTGTAAGAACAAATTCCCCAGAGGACACAACATTCAGAAACAGCATTTAAGCAAGGAGTGCCTGTCAGTACATGGGTTTACTCTCCGTCAGCCGCTCCTTGGCCTTGTGGGCATCTCATGGCAGGACCTCCACCCTTCAGCAGCCTTTCCTGAAGCTTCAAACCTTGGCTCCACAGGGCAAGGACTAAAGTCTCTATCTCAAGCTTCCTCTGGCCACAGAAGACCAGAGGTGTGAAGGTGCTTCTACACTGGGCAGTTCTGTTAAGCAGAACAAGGATAAAGGAAGCTAGAGATCCAGGCATTATTAGAGAAAAACTGTTTCCTGGCAAGCCTGTCCCTGTAGAAGGATATGGCCACCCACTCCAGTATTCTTGCCTGGAGAATTCTATGGACAGAGGAGCCTGGCAGGCTATAGTCCATGGGGTCACAGAGAGTCAGACACAACTGAGTGACTAACACTACTACTACTATTACCAGCAAGCCTCTAGGCTCATTCTCAGGTCAATGGGAGTCTTCTATGCTGGAGAAAAGTGGAGGTTTGAGGCAGCCTTGGGGCTCTGCAAAAGGCCCTCACTGTAACAGGCTCCTCAAGAGGCCCTCGCTGTAAGTGGCTTCAGCTCAGGCAAGCGTCCCTGCTCTGGCCCTACCATCCCCACAAACAAAATGTTCTCCTTCTTAAACCCAGCAGATCACTAACCTGCTCAAGGCCCAACGAATAAGGCACCTTGGACTCAAATCTTCACTCTTGCAACCTTAAGTCCTCATCATGTGTAATTTGATGTTCGTCACAGGTAAACCATCTGCTACTTCTAACACAGAGAGTCAGACCTCTGCCCTGAGTGGTCCCATCTGTAATTATGATAGATCAAAAATTACTCAGTGGATCAAATCTCTGATGGAGCAAAGGAGGAAGAGAAAAAGGGAGGCTGTCTTGTGTTCATACTAATTTCTATGATGTTTTATAAGGTGACAGGTGTGCAAGCACCAGGAAGGATACATGATATCCATGGTAGTGGCCTGATTGGCTATGATACTTAAACACGGAGAATGAAGTACAGGGCACAGGGCCAAGGATGAAATCAGAGAGAGAAAGGTCACCTTGGGACTACAGTAATGGTCCTAGACTGACTGTTTTCTCACTCTAAACCCTGGGGATGCCGCTTCCTCAGCATGCCAACTGGATCTGCTTTATCTGCACTGATGCCTGACACTGCATCTCTCAAGTCATAGGGCCACACTTCACTGGTGGTTTCCTCCTGCTCACTGTAACTGTTTGCACCAAATCCAGCATTCTCTGCCAAGACGGCGGGATCCTCTTCTTCAGGAGACCAGCAGGAACATGGTTCTGGCTCTAGGTCACATGAGGTAACAGAATTATCTTCCTGAGCTCTAGGCTCAGTAGGCATTGCCCAACCCACACGGTCTGATACTTCCTCTTCTAGCACTCCCATTCTTTCAGCCATTTCTTCAGCAGAGGGCTCTTTTGAGTCAGGGTAATCCACCAGGATGGTTTCTTGCCTATGTTTGATGCAATCTGAAAGGTCATAAATTGGATAAGTCTCTTCGGGATAACCTAGAGAAAAAAGTAGCACAAAGGTCTTACAAAGAATGTCTCTTCCAAATAAACAGTGTCAGGCTCAAAGAGGCTTCTCAGGCAGCAGCCATCCTATCCCAACAAATCCATTCAAGAAATCTCTAAGAGGACTAACAGTTCTCAAGTTTCACTTGAGCAAATTCTTGGTGATCCGGCTGACTGTCCACCAGCTCTATGAAATACAAACTAATTCAGCTGAAAATCCCTTCTCAAGTGCAGGGTGCTTGGGGCAGAGTGTAAGTCTCACACCTCAAGCTTCTGCAGTAGTGATGAAGATTAAACAAACAACATGATCCTCAGTTTGAAAAAAAAAAAAAGTGCCAAACACCAGATGGAGAGAGCATAGCTCAAGGCTAATGTTTATAATTTCTATTTGGAACCATTTCCAAAGCTTCCCAGGGGCGGGGTGGGAGTGGGGGAGAAGGAAAGGAATGTTGCGCTCTTTGAAAAATACACCACAAAGCCTTCTACTAACAAAGCAATTGAAATGGCTTGCAAGTGTCAGAAATAGAGCACAGTTGAGCAAGACATGCCCAAGGTCCCCAAGGACAAGGACTGCATTTTGAGAAGAGAGAATTCCCATTGTTGGCTTCTTCGCCTTCACGACAGGGAACAAAAGAAAACAACAAACTGGTAAACAAAATGAATCCCAGCAACGATAATGAGGAAAGAGAAAATGTTGCCAAATTAAAGAATGAAATGAAATAAATCTGTGTCAGCCAAGCCGCGCCTGAGCAGCAGATGGGCCGTGCTGGAGCTCATATGCCGGTGCTGGCAACAGCAGCCGTGCCCACCATACAACGTGAAAGCCAGAGAATTCAAAACCCATTTGCACATTATGAGAATTGGCAAGTTGAACCCTAACAAACCATTTTTTTTTGCCTACAAATTCTGAAAAGTTAGGGTCTTTTTTGGTGCCATGCACAGTGTGGAGACACATTTTTACAACATTTATGATCAGGGGTGGGGGGGGAACAGTCAAAGTCACACAGGCTTATTGTAGAAAATCTGAAAAACCCAGACAAATTTTAAAAGAGAAAACAAATCACCTAGAATCCCATCACTAATAACAACGTGTTGTACTACCTCTGGCCTTTTTATCACTGCAAGTGCTATTTTTCTGTTTTTTAACAAAGAGGGATCATACTGTACATAAAATATTGTACCCAGATTCTTTTCCCTCAACATTATATCATGAGTACTTCTTCATATTATTAGGCATTTAAAAGTTGGCTGCAAAATATCCCATCATACAGCTACATAACTGACATGATTTACCATGCCCCTTCTGTAAGACATTCAGATTCTTTCCAATTTTCCATTGTAAGTTTCATATTAGTTAAGATCTCTGAATATAAATCCATGTCCATTTCCCTATTTTTTAAGATAGACTTTTAGAAATGTGAAAACTAGACCAAACGGGAGGGACATTTTAAAAGCCTTTTTTATACTCTGCCAAATTACTTTCCAGAAGAATGGTATAAATTTTTAGTCCTACCAGTGATATAAAAAAACTGTCCTCCTTTCTCACATCCTCACCAGCACTGTAGTAGTGTGTCAAGAATCTCGCCAATGCAGCCTTAGTTCCCAGGCTTAACTTACTGCAGACAGTATGCTGAGTAAACTGGAGCTTAGCTACCCAAGGTCCTCACAGTCTCTTTGGTCAAAGGCAGAGGCTGGGGAAGTTAGCTCTAGTTAGCTCCTAGCCACTGAACGCTTAAGAGTGAAATCTGTTTTCTGGCATGTTTCTGCCTCTCCTTACACCAAGAACAAAGCTTAATGTTGGAATTTCATGACTATCTGCCTTGGTTTAAGATGGGGAAGTCTGCTGAAGAAAATCAAACAGTGACTCACATAACTACTTGAGTAGCCCATATCAGCCAACGTACTGATTACCTAAGAACTTCATTAAAAACATAAGCAAGAAACAAAAACTCACTGGTCCTACGAGGAAGTCAGCACTCCAAAATGGGAACCAAACTAAGCAAACTAAAGTGAAAGTGAAGTCGCTCAGTCGTGTCTGACTCTCTGCGACCCCTGGATTGTAGCCTACCAGGCTCCTCTGTCCATGGGATTCTCCAGGTAAGAATACTGGAGTGGGTTGCCATTTCCTTCTCCAGGGGATCTTCCCAACCCAGGGATAGAACCCAGGTCTCCCGCATTGCAGGCAGACACTTTAACCTCTGAGCCACCAGGGAAGGTCAATCAGCTTTTAACTGACATTTCCAGTAATATTCAACTGGTTATTGTATGTATAAAACCAATCAGGCTTCAATATAAAAAAAGGAGCAAACAGAATATAAGAAAGAGCTGTCAGAAACTGAAAATCCTAATTGCAAAAAAAAAAAATTTAACCTGAATAAGGAAGAAAAGAGTAGGTTGAAATAGACATGACTGAGAACCAAATTAATATATTATTAGAAGTTCAAGGTGAAAAATTCTCCTAGGACAAAGATAAACATGACAAAGAAATGGAAATTATGAGAAAAAAGACAAGCTGCACAGAAGACCTATCCAAGATCCAATCTTAGAATTATTACAATTCTACAGTGAGAGGGCAGAGTAGGTTAAATGGGAGCAATAATCAAAGAAATTATAAGAAAATATTTTTGAGTTGAATAAAGTCCCAAGTGTTCAGATGGATAAATGCTAGGTAAAAATACTTTGAAAAATCCATACATTAATACATAGTCAGATATATGCTGATGAACTTGTACAAATTCAAACTTTTAAGTATAAAAAGAATACGAATTTCCAGACAGAAAACAGAAATTAGCTAACCAAAAACAGGTTGCCCATTGAGAAAAAGAATAAGACTGGGATAAAAGTTATCATTTTCAACATCAAATGAAAGTAGAGAATGAAGCAATGTTTTCAGACTTATAAGGGAAAACGGCATCATCATATAATTTTATACCCATCCAAAAAATTATTTGTATCAAAGTGAAAAATGGTTAAGTCCAATACTTAGAAAGCACACTCTTCTATTTTGGGGGAGCTGGGGGAAGGCCTTAAGGAAGTATTCTGACAGATACAAAAATTAATCAAAAGTTTAAATTAAAGAAAGAAAGATACTGTATATAAGAAAGTGGTAAAAAATGAAATCTATAAGAATTATCAATGTAAAATAAATAATTATTGATAATGTGGTTAGAAATTTAATGACATTGTTAAATACTAAGAAAATGCTAATATCTTTAAAAGCTGCATAAATCATTTGGAGCTAAAATTCTACATAATTTCAACAAAACCTAAGTAGTAGGTAGAAAATAAATAAGAATAATTTTACCTTATTTGGGAACAGGTTATATAATGAAGATTTGCAATTTGGAAGGAAAGAAGTAATTCCATTTTTCATTTCATTGATTACTACTGAGAATGAAATAATTTTTCTTCTGTTTTGTAGCCAGTTGAACTTTTTTCTTTTGTGCACTGCATAGCTAGGTGGATATCAGTGTTTCCTAAATTAGTTGTAGAACTTTTTATATATTAAAGATATCAGCTTCTTTGCTGATTACATTTGCTACAAGTATTTTTCCAATTTTAGTGTAGGCTCTGAAAACTTTTCGACCTTGTATGATCTACAGAAAGTAAAAGTTTTATGTACACCATGTAAGTTTTATGTTATGCTATCCTGTCCCTTGTAATTTCTTGCATTGCTTTTTTAAATGAGTTTTTTATTTTGTGTTAATTGTAGATTGATGTGTAGTTATAAGAAATACAGAAATCCCATGTACTCTTTATCTAGTTTTTTCTAATGACACCTTACAAAACTATACACTATAATATCACAACCAGGATGTTAATACTGATATAGTCAGCATACATGAACATTTCTAGCACCACAAGGATCCCTTATATTGCCCTTTAATGGCCACACCTACTCCCTCCTGCCCCTAATTCCCTCCTTAACCTCTGGCAACTACTAGTCTGTTCTCCATTTCTATAATTTTGCCATTTCAAGACTGTTATATAAATAGAATCACATTACATAATAACCTTTTACAATTAGTTTTTTTTTTATTCAACATAATCTGGAAATTCATCCAAACTGTTGCATTTATCAGTAGTCCATTCCTTTTTATTGCTATAATCTTTCCCAGCCATCAGTCTTTCCAATGAGTTGGCTCTTCGCATCATGTGGCCAAAGTATCAGAGCGTCAACTTCAGCATCAGTCCTTCCAATGAATATTCAGGATTGATTTCTTTTAGGATTGACTGATTTGATCTCCCTGCAGTCCAAAGTGAAACTGAAGTTGCTCAGTCATGTCCAATTCTTGGCGATCCCATGGACTGTAACCTACCAGCTCCTCTGTCCATGGGATTTTCCAGGCAAGAATACTGGAGCGGGTTGCCGTTTCCTTCTCTGGGGGATCTTCCCAGCCCAGGGACCGAACCCAGGTCTCCCGCATTGCGGGCAGATGCTTTATCATCTGAGCCACCAGGGAAGCCCTGCAGTCCACAGGGACTCACAAAAACCTCCAACACCACAGATCAGAGGCATCAATTCTTCAGCGCTCAGCCCTCTTTATGGTCCAACTTTCACATCTGTACGTGACTGCTGCAAAAACCATAGCTTTGACTATATGGACTTTTGTCAGCAAAGAAATGTGTCTGCTTTTTTAATATGCTGTCTAGGTTTGTCATAGCTTTTCTTCCAAGGAGCAAGCATCTTTTAATTTCATGCCTGCAGTCACCATCTGCAGAGATTCTAGAGCCCAAGAAGATAAAGTGTGTCACTGTTTCCACTGTTTCCCCTTCTATTTGCCATAAAGTGATGGGATCGGATGCCATGATCTTAGTTTTTTGAGTGTTGAGTTTCAAGTCAGCTTTTTCACTCTCCTCTTTCACCTTCATCAAGAGGCTTTTTAGCTTCTCTTTACTTTCTGCCATAAAGGTGGTGTTATCTGCATATCTGAGGTTACTGATATTTCTCTTGGCAATCTTGATTCCAGCTTGTGCTTCATCCAGCCCAGCAT